ATGCGGACAGTCCGTCGTCACGCACCAACCCACGAAGTTATCACCCTGCTTAGTCCTCCTGCGCCCGTCAGGTTCGCCCGTGCGCTACAGTCCGTCGTAGCCACACGCGTCAACCCCGCACATTTGGCACCAGCTCGTCGGGTCGCCCAACTCCCACTTCACTGACCTCGTACTTCGCTCGTGAGCCGACCCTCACTGATCGCGCTACCCCGAGCTTCCAACAACTGTTTAAGAGGGCTATCTAATCGCGCAGCCGGAATTTATAGCGTGCATGCATGCGCGAAGAACACGGAATCGCAAGGACTTAGGAAGAGAGAGGGAAGGGATTGCCTACGTTCTGCAAGGCCAGACCGCGACGTGGGGGACGTAGCCACTCTCCACGCATCGATCTGATCATGCAGCCCGTGGGCCTCCTAGACACAGGAAAGAAGAGAGAGGGCAGGAAAGACGAAGCTCGACAAGAAAGATACAGTTACAAGGGCGCCCTGCCCAAAATTACAGTTACACGCAAGATTAAGGGCGCCGACTAATCAGAGTTCCGTCACAACCACAAAAAGAAGTGCGTGAGCAAAAAACATCGCGCGACAAACAGAAATTCTGAATTCCTAAATTCCTAATTCCTATTTACGCAAAAATGCAAAAAGAACTTTAAAGCACAAATCCTGGAAAGAAAGTCCGAAATTCCGAGAGCCATCGAGGGCTCGACAAGATTCGAAAAAGAAATTAAAAAAGAAGCAAAACTTTTCGTGCGATCACCGCGCCAAGAACCCGATAACAGAACAAGAAAGAAGCGACGTCAATCATTATTAATCGTGCCTCTGTCGGCACGCCAGCCACTCAATCGGCCATCCCGGGACTCGCCCGACTGTAAACCCAGCCATCCGAAAAAAAACGACGTGAAAAGACGAAGAAGCGAGGGCACCGATGCAATTTTCCCTTCTATCTCGATCTCCCGTAATTGGCCCAACCTTCCCATCTTAGGACCCCTCATTATTATCGCGCAGAAGATTGCGCGGAACAGAAATCAGTTCGTCACATATGTGACGCCCAGGGGGTTCCAATCTTAAGCAAGCTCCTCCTTGCTTGACGTTGCGACGCGTGTCGATCTCTCTAATCGATCGACACGCGAAGCTCTCTTCGTTGCCACTTACCGTGTGATAAGAGTGTGGAAGTCATCTAGTGAGGCATACGTGGCTCTATCCTACAAATTCCTCAGGAAGGGCTCTCTTCAATCAAAGGAGGGGATCGTGCATGCCATCGCCGTGACACGTGTCGTGCACCTGCGCATCGGTGACCATCAGGAAGGGGAGGCACTTCATGGGGGTAAGGCGAGGGGGTGGGTTTGTCGGAAGCAGGGGCGAGAAGCGTTCCATCCTACAAGTTCCCCGGGAAGGGCAATCTGATCACCGAACGGGGGAGGCGATGGAGGATTCTGGGGGAGAGGAGGCATGCACCGATTGATGGCCGGAGACTCGAAAGCGGGAAGGGAGGTATAATAGATGGAGCGATGGATACAGGGAAAACGAGGTCCCCCACGATCGTGGGGGAGGGAAGCAATATAGTCGTGGTAAAGAGTGGAGAGGGTGCGGTGAAGAGCGGTACGAAAATTCCCATAATTTTCGCAGGCGGGGATCGTTCGTGAGGTAATACAATATATTTCTATGTGGTTATATTCCCGCCAGTTCACACTAAACAAGAGAACATGGAGAAGGAAAGAATCTACTACGGAGCGAGTGGTAGCGTGTGGAAAGACGGTGACTAGGAGGCGGGTGGTGTAGAGGTGGTAGAAGAGGTCGGGAGGGAAGGGGCACCATCCAACGGGGAATGCGGGTCTACCAGGGAGTCGGGTGAGCATCAGGAAGTCAAGGGGACGACGAGCCTGAGAGAACGACCGGGGACGAAGCCCGATCGCCCTCATCTTGATGTAGGCTAAGGGCAAGTCGGGCAGGGGAACCAGACGAAGTCGGCGATTTGCTCCTCCTTCGGCGACGTCTTCCTGATCCCTCTGCCGTGGCTCTATCGCCTCCTTCTTCTTCCCTTGGGGGCTGTGGATCGAGCCACGGATTCCCCAACGATAGATCAGGCGGGGGTCCTTCCGTGACCGACCGCTTTCCTTCCGCCTTTTCCAACCGCTTTCGTGCTTCTGCCTCCTCCTCTTCCTTACTTCGATCGAGCCGCTGACTCGGCTCACCCGCTACACCTTCCTCCTTTGCTGGCTCACCTTCTTCATCTTCCTCCTCTTCTCCTTGGACGTAATCAGGATCGTCACGATCTTCGCTCAATTTTTCTTCTTCTTCGTCTTCACTCTCCTCTTCTTCTTGTCGCGCGTTTCCTCTCCGGACGATGGGGTCCCACAGTGTGAGATCGGTGACGTCGATCTCGAGGAAGAGAGCTTGGGACGGATAGGCACAGTTGTCGTCGTCCAGCTCAGTACACGTGGACCACAACAGGCGCGGCTCGAGCGTCCTGGAAAACACGTGGGTGCCTGACTGATTGTCACACCGCGATAAAATGTCCAGAGGCAGGTCGTCCACCAGCTGTGTCAGGAACACCAGCAACTCGTTCGTAATCAGAGTGAGATTCCCGTCAACCACCTTCCCAAACAGTATCCCCAACAGATCTCCCTCCGTCGCTGTTCTCCAAGCTTGCACGATCAACAGTTCCACCTCGTCGTCTGGGAGTTCAGGTCCTTCTCCGTACGGTGCTGGCTCAGACCAGCGGAACCCTACTTCCAGCAGGCAAAAAGCGAGCTCTGCGTACGCCTCCCACCAATTGTTCCACTTCTCCTCGTCCAGTATCGACACACTGATTTGCTTGATACGATAGGAGAGAGAGGGGGCGTGAGCAGATTGCCAGAGGGTGGGGATGTCAGAAGGGAGGCCAAAGAGAGAAAGGCGGCGTCGACTCATCGGGGAGGCACTAAGGGACGAAGCTCCGACAACACGATCGGTGGCGAATCGCTGGAAGAGCGAAGCTGCAGGTCGATGTCGTGTGAGGGCACGACACCGTATCCCCGCGCCGAGCGAGGAGCGTTGTCCACGCAGTCTGAATCTCTTCACCCCAAGCGCGCAAGGTCCGAAAGATGTCGGGATGGATCGCCGATGATACTGCTGTAATATCCCCGATGAAAACGACGATGACGGTGATGTGGCTGATCCCAGGAGAGGACAAGCGTTGAAAGGCCGAAATCTTGGCCAGGACACGTGTCGCTGCCGATTGCGTAAACCGAAATTCTGCTGCCACGTGGATTGCCGTCGTGTTGAAGAATACCGCAAGTCAAAGGAGATCGGCACTTAGTCGTGGCCGCTGTACTTACCGGATTGTACTGATCCGCCCTCTCGGGGTTAGCAACTGCACTCTAATCACCTGCTCCGTTGAAAAGCTCATGGCGATGGACGAGGAGACGGAGTGCCAGAGGGAGAGAGGGACGGGGAGGGGGAGACTAGATCGTCGTCGTCTTCCTCGGTGTCATACGAGGAGGCAGACGAAGGCGGAGATGGAGAGGATGGGAGATGTCGTAGGTATGACACGTGGCGAGTGATCGGTCGAGCCGATCGGCTGCCGGAGACCTCAGGCATGAGCCGCACGGTATTCCCGTCGTTCGGTCCGAGTTCGACTATGCGAAATCACCCGAAGAATCCTGGCGCTAACTTACCCTGGCGAGCACATTTCCTTACCTGCACGATGTCCCCTAACTTATACTGGGGCCGCGGTCCCACGTTCCCATTTGGGGCCTCGTAGCTACGGACCTGTCGGCCTTGGGCCAACTCGGTCATTCGTTCGCGTTTTCGGGCTAATCGGGGAAGGGACCGCTCCATCAGTTCCAGATGCCGCTTGGCCTTGTCTCGAACCGTGGCCCTTGTGGGCCGACGGTTCAACGAGGATTCGTCTGGGAGGCTTGGTATTGAAACACAAGCCACACTATTGGTCCGTAATTGAAAGGTGCTCAGGCCCGTCGATTTGTGGGGCGTTCCTCGATGAACCGCCAGGATGTGATCCACGATGTCGGGCCAGGGTCTCGGATTCTGTGCCACGATGTTTCGTCGCATCGCTGTCTTTATCACCCTATTTGCGTTCTCTACCAGCCCGTTAGATTGTGACATGTGAGGCGCAGTGTTCCGAATGGCGACACCATGTATGACCAGGTTCCTCAAAACCTCTCCTCTGAATTCCGCCCCATTATCGGTCAGGATCTCCTCCGTGTCCTGATGCATTCCGAGAAGCCGGTTGACGTATCACGTGATTTCGGACGCCTGTCGCATACGACATGGGTATGCCTCAATCCATTTCGAAAAATGATCTACGAATACCAACGGGATTGAATATTCACAACTATTCGGTCCAGGGGGCACCACAATATCGGTAGTATCCATACTAACCCTTTGAAAAGGCCGTTCAACTACCGTAGGTACTATCGATCTTGGTGGCTGAATCGGCGCCTTGTCAGCAGCGCAAACCTGACAGTTCTGGACGATGAATTTCACATCGTCGTGAATGTTAGACCAGTACCACTCGTTTTTGTCGATCGCCGCTTCCGTAATTCAGACGGCAAAATGGGCTGCAGTTTCCTCATGTGCCGTCTTAACCCAGTCATACCGCATGAACGGGTGCGGAACTACCATCCAAATCCCACTACCGTCCGTCTTCTGTTTTTCTAACCGACCCTCATTCCAGCGATAGTCCTGAGTCCTCTCATTGGCCCTCCTCCGGTCCTCCTTAGTGAAGTCCTGGAGGGGGTTACTACCAAGGTGGCAATTAGGGCAATATTCGTCCATACCTCGACCCTTCTAAACTTCCGGGTCTTTTCTAACCCTTCGGGCGTGGCGTCGAGAAATCGAGCCTCGGTTGGGATCTTATCGACTCGACACAAGGGGCACAACCAGGGCTTATTGTCATTTATGTACTGAATGCACGAGCCATGGGCTCATGCGACACACTGCCGACAATCTACCCATTCCGCATATCCTTCCCCAGCAGGATGCATAGGGACGGAATAAACGCGTGAAATTGCTTTGCAAAAATAGCAAAATTTGTCAGGGAGCGAGAGAAGGGACGAAGGTGAGAGGGGAGAGAGAGATGTCGTAGGATTACCTCCGTCACCCATTGCCACGTGCCTGCTTCTTGCCACGTGGGAAAACTGCCACTTGTCCGTACTTGGGCCCGTTCGATGGTTCCAGTTCCTTCGAGGGGATGATTTCTTCTCCTTTAGGTACCTTACCTGTTCGATGCAGACGTGTCAGTCCGTCCGCGTTGTCGTGCCTCTTTGTCTTTCGATGGATGATGTTGAAATCATACTCCTGTAGGCGCACCGCCCATCACCCAATCATACCCGTGTAATTAGTGAGCCTCTTCAGCGTTAGCAGCGGCTTGTGATCAGTCACGAGAAAAAACTTATGTCCGTAACGATACGGATGGAAGTGCTGGATTCCCCAGACCACGGCGTAACATTTGCCTTGTGGGGCCGAATCATTCCTTCGCTCATCTGGCACCGTGTGTGATGCGTATTCGATGACGTGTTCACGGCCGTCGCTCCCCTTTTGCGCTAAAATGGTGAAAATGGCCTCCGACTGCTAGTCCGTGATGAGACTGAACTGCTTTGTAGGGTCCGGCCAGATCAAAATGGGTATTGTGGCCAGGGCGTCCTTGAGGGTGGCGAAGGCCTGCTCGCACTCGGCGTCCCAACTGAGAGGCTGGTCCTTTCGCAGCAGGTTTGTCAGAGGCTTTGCTATCACGACAAAGCCCTTGATGAAACGGCGATAGTACGATGCCAGTCCCAAGAAGGCTCGAACCTGCGTCAGCGATGTAGGAACGGGGGCATCTTTCACCGCCGCGACCTTTCTCGAATCTGGCCGCAGTCCTCGTGTCACCACGTAGCCCAGGAACAAGATCTCCGAGAGGAAGAACTCACTCTTTTCGAGTGCGATCTTGAACCCAGCGTCTCTCAGAGCTCCCAGCGTCCACTCGATATGTTGTGCATGTCCATGATAGTTTTCGAGTAGACCAGGATGTCGTTCATGCATACGATGACGCAAAAGTTTATCATTCCCTGAGTTAGCCGCGTCTTGTTGACGACGTTATGAAAAGTTACGTTCATGGCCCGCTGAAACATGGCACGTGCGTTGCAAATCCCCACAGGACACGGAACCCACTGCCACGTGCCTTCAAACAATATGAAGGCCGTTTTCGGTCGATCCTCATCCTTAACCAGAATGTGATGGAAGTCGTGACGAATATCAAACTTACTAAAATAATTAGCACACCCAATCGCATCCAGCAAATCATCAATCCGGGGAAGGGGATACACATCTTTGATCGTGATATCATTCAGTTTGCGATAATCAATGCATATGCGAATCGACCCATTTTTCTTCGGCACTAATACTACCAGAAATGACTATGGCCCAGTAGCAGGTTCGATCCATCCATTGGCTTCGAATTCCCGGATCCGCTGAAGAGCTGTCTTCCGTTCCACCAGGGAGGATCTGTAGGGCATACAGTGGATCGGGGGATGGTTTCCAGTCTGAATCTCGTGCTGTATGACCAATGACAGTCCGATATCCGTGTCCATCACGCTAATCGCTCCTTGGTATTCCTTCAGAATGCTTGCGATCAGGTGATGAATTTCATCGGGTACGTAATGGGGCACATGCAACTCATACGATTGTTCCCATATCCGTACATCGACCTGTTTCGTACTCCCTCGCTTAGCAGTTTCAGGCAGGGGTGCGAAAATAAACGAGTTATCCGATCGTCAAGAGAATACTGTGGCCATCATTTGTGCATCCTGCTCTCGAATGGCCACGTGTTCCTCCGGGGTCACTGCGTCGCGAATATCCTGCCATGACACGGGCTTCATTGCGATTTTAATCCCGAGTCCGGTTTCGAGGCGCTCAGAGGGTTCCAAAGAATTGGCCTCCGCCCCTAAGCGTAGCAATCGTATCTCTTTCGCAGGTGGTAAAAGTGATCGCGGGAGGCTCGTGATATCGCAGAAATGTCTTTTGTCGTTGTATTGTGGAAGGAGAGGGGAGATACCTTCGTATAGGGTTCAAGGGGGTTCCAAAGAATCAACCATCCTCGATATCTGCACAAGAGTTTCGCCCAGAATCATTGCCTGCGTCCTCTGCAAGTTTTGATCGGTCAGGTTCAGAGGTTTCGCGTTCGTTCGTCGTGCAGGGTAACAAATGCGCTGTCGCACGAGCTCCAGAATTACCGCATTATCCTCGTCACTGTTGTCCGCCTCCTTCGCTGATTGCTCATCGTCTGCGGAGTTTTCCCGGGTGATCACACGGAGAGTTCCCGCCATTACCTGAGAGGCATGCGGGACTGTGTTGACGGTAGTTCAGAGAGTCAGTCTCATAGGTATGGCGTAAGGTTTTCCTCCCGTATTTCGGAGGATAATCGATCGTTTCTCAAAATCGAGATTGGCTCGCAAGGCCATAAGAACGGGCAGTCCTAAAAGAACGTCGTAAGTGTTTACATCCAATACTACGACATCTCCCAAAGCGTGCACCTTTCCTAATTGAAAAGCCACATTGGTCATTCGACCTATTGTTTTGATTTTCTCTTCGTCTGCCGAAACGAGCTGCTCTTTTTCTGTAAGCATAATCAGGTCCTTGTTTCTCCCTGCTCTTTCAACTACTCGTAACGAAATGGCTAAAATGGCAGCTCCAGAATCAATGATAGCATTGTACGGAACACCCCATACTTCGACGTCACATTCCGCGGATTTCCACGAAATTGTCTTAATCCGCAGAAAATTGTCATCTTTCTGGATTAAACCCAAACGTATCGGATGCAAGGTACCAGCTGCGTTTTCATCTGGCGTTGGACTTTTTGCTTTCGTGTTTGTTGTTCGGGCGAGGGCAAATCGTTTCCGATTTGCCTTGCAGTGTTGTAGCATACGTTCATTGGCTTGTTCCGATATTGATAGTAGATGACCGATCGGGAGAGGAATCCGATGATCTAGCGCCCGAACGATGTTCAAAACATCTATTTCCC